TGTGGGGTGGCACGCACAGCAGTGCGGGTTTTACTGTGGAGGTGATCATGAAGGTGGTGGTGTCCTAACCCTATGCATCCTTGAGCCTGATATTTTAATAAAACAGTCCTTTTGGTTTTGGTGCACGGTGGCATACACACTTGGTGACACCCTTTTCCTATTTGGAGTCTTCTCGCCAGGTGCAGAGAGACTGTGTCTGTTTCAGCTGCTTTTTCCTTTCTGTCCAGCCATAGCATCTTTGTAGCCTATGAGCAAGTAGCAATTTTTGGACGTTGCTAAAAGAGGTTTTGCAGAGCACACTGCTGAGAAGAAGAAGTGGCGCTAGCACTAGTGGGTGAGTACTGACGGTATTATGAAGATATCTGTAGACTGAAGGATGTGGAAAAGGAGTCCAAGGACATTTTCCCTAAGCTGTTATTTAAAATCCCAGGCCTCAGCCAGAGCAAAGGAACACAAAAGGAACCCCCACCATGGGTCACCTGACCTCTATACCCTGATAAGCCCCAGGCACGTTCCTGTCCCACCTTAATGGAGTGGAGCAGTTACCCTAAATGAAGCCTTATAACCCAGACCCTTGCTTCAGCCTCTGCCATCTTCTGCCCTGAAGATGATCCCAGCCCAGTGCTTGGCAATTGGCTCCTCTGCTAAACCCTGATTAAAGAGAAGCCTGCTGACCCGAGGGTTGCTTCTGCCGTCCTCATGTATGCCATGTGTCCCAAACACTGGGTTCCCTGCCCAGGAGCTGGAGCAAGGTGGGATGAACCCTCCCCAACCCTTCCCTGTAGTTACACTAGGACGCAGGCGTTTCTCCACCCTGTAGAGCATAGGCCCTCCACACCTCTGCTGCGAGCAACCGGCTACCCGAAGGCTATGAGTCTAAGGTCTAACAGCCCTGGGGTACCAACCACCTGCTAAACTTTTGCAGCTTTATTCCACATGGACAGTGAAAGGACACTCGCAAAGCCCAAGGACCACTCCCCACACTGGAATCCCACATGAGAGTCACTTGTCAGTAGCATGAAGCAAACCGACAAGGCTGACCTGCCTGTCGGCACTCAGAGCAGCTTTATGGCCCATGAGAGGAGTTCCAGGAGCATGTTCAGGGGTTGCACGTTCAGGGGTTGCGACATGAGCTGGGCTGGGTCAGCCTTTTAGCAGCCATGTTCAGAATCGAAGGCTGGGAGTCTCTAGATAGCAGATCTGATGCCAATAGCCAGTAAAGGGATTTGTACCAAAGCCTCTGTTAATGTTAAAGGAGGCCTACTTCTACCCCCTCGCCAGCTGCCCTTCCCTGGCACACCCAGCAAACCTCCAGATCAGGGACACCCTTGTCATTTGTTTTTACATCCAAGACCCCATTTGTCCAGTGTCTACCACGTAGATGCCACCACCTTTTGGCTGACCAGGGACCCCCACCCCTGAGATTAGGAGAAAGGATGTTTCCCCAGCCCCCAGTGGGAAAAGTCCAGCCGGGCACACGGGCGGCATGCGGAGTACAGAGGGTGCTTTGCCCTCTGTTGAGCCTCCCAAAATATGGGGACTACCAAGTCAGTTCGTGGAGACACCCCTGGGCTGTCTACCAAATTCTGAGAGACTCTATTCCCATTCTGACCTCGAGATTAAATGCCTCATTAGGCTCAGCACTCAAAATTGGCCACAATACAAATTAGATAATCTGCACTGGTGACCCAAGATGAAACCTTTGATCAGTAACTCTCCAAAGTTCAAAAACGAACTATTACAGATTGTCAAGATTGTCTGAGGTTTTCAACCTCTAAGCTTTCTTTCCCCTTTCCTCCATTGCCAAATAATACTCCTGCAGGGATTCTCTCTCCCAGTCCTGTTCCTCAGTGGGTCTGCGCCTGACACCCACGAAGACTGAATTAGCGAAGGGCACGGGGCTTCCCAGAAGCAGTTTGTAGATAGACAGAAAAGCAGCTCCCAGCCTCAGCCACCCATAGGCCCCCAGAAGCCACTGCTGGCCCCACCAGACTTCCTAATGCATCTTGTGGGCCCTGTTCCCAGTGTGTGTAGACTGTCCCCAGGGCGGACAGTTTTTAAAGTCCCTACATTGAGCTGCTAGAACTAGAGGACCCAAGTCCCACTGCCTATCACCTCAGATGGTATTCTCTTAGGGGCTCCAAGTTCTAGGGATGGTGGGTGGCAGGGAGGTGTGCGGTTGTAAGTAAGCAATTGGGAGTGTTATGAGACGAGGTTAGACGGCTCTAGGACTCCTGGAATACGGAAAATAGATTGACTCAGGAGCCTTTTCCAATCTGGAATGGTGATCAATCTAATAACTTAAAATGTCACTCATCTTGATAAGGATTTCTCACAGCATATGTATTGAATGCCAATGTTTTACTGTGTGAACCTACTCAAGTAGGTTATAATGCCTCACAAAATATGTATTATGTTAAATGCAGAACTGTATGCTACAAAGATAAGTCAAACTATATGGCAAAGTTCAGGACAAACTCAAGAGTCTCAAAGGCCAGCAGCCACCTGGCTCCCTGTCAGGTGCTCAGTGTTGTATCTGATGGTTGATGGCTGGCATTGTTATCTTAGCTGGAATAATTGCTTCTGTATCCACATTTAGCAATTTCAAAGGAATTTTACTGAGACCTGGCAAACTCAAGTACATATTGATCAGGAAATTTTAAGTGAAATTCAACAACTAAAAGATTCTGTGATATGACTAGGAGAATAAGATTTCCTATGGGCTCAGAGACATCAATGTCATGAACATTACCAGTTGTATGTCACTGGAGTTCCATATAATGACACTGAGATTCAATGGCAAAATGTAAGTAATCACCTAATGGGACTTAATCATTTTCATGTTTCTTTGGATGTATTGGAATTACAATCTCGGGTTCGGGCTACAGTCAATGCAAAAGGACCAGCTTTTAACCATGAGGAAATAAAGGGCAATTTGGCTAAAGCAATCTCTTTGCTTAAACCTTTTAAATACTTTCCTGTAAGTGTAGCTTGCTTACTAGCTATGGTCATATGGTTAAACTTATCTCTGTTCTTGTTTTGTATAGTCTATCAAGCAGGATAGAAAGTCTAATTCAAAGAAAGGGTTTCTTAGGGAGACCTGTCAAAACCCAGCCACCTCCCAGGACCCATCTCCCTCTGTGACCACTGCCTGATTTTTTGAAAAAGGAGGACTTCACTCATGCCAATTTTGAAGCTCCTCCCACATACATCCCTCTTCAGCCTCAATCTCCAGGGTCTTCATGTTCTCTGGAAGAGAACATGAAGGGGGGACGTCCCATACTTCAGCCATTCTCAGCAGGAAGCAGCCAGATTTGATGTTCATCCCAATTCATTAGACCCCTTTCAGAGTCTGGAGTGGAGGATATGGAAAATAAGCCAAGGACATTTCCCCTAAGTTTTTGACATGTAAAATCCCAGGCCTCAGCCAGAGGAAAGGAACACAAAAGGAACTGCACTGAGCCCCCCACCCCAATCCTGGGTCACCTGAACAGAGTAAGCCCCAGGAAATTCCCTGTTCACATTCCTGTCCCCCCTTAATGGAGGGGGGGGGGGGGGGGCAATGCTTCAGCCCACTGCCATGTTCGGCCTTGAACATCAGTTGTGCCAGGGTTCCACTGGTTGGCTCTACTGCTGAGCACCGAGTAAAAAGCCTGCTGATGTGAGGTGTGCTGCTTCCCATCTCCCACCTCCATCACTCCTGTGTCATCTGTCCTAACAGACACCATAGAATTCCCACACTCCACGTGTGCCCAGGCTGTGTTGCAGGGTGGGGACTGTGGTGTGTAAAACCTGTCATTACATATGGGGATGTCACTGCCAGTGTTAGTAGATGCCACAAGGAAGAATTAGTAAGAATTGAAGGTATTAAGTAAAATTGTAATTTCACTTACTTTTTGCTGCTTAAATTTTATTTGAATATATTTAGTAAATTAAGACACACATGTGATTTTTGCTATTTTACCAGTTAATTTGGTATATAAGGAATGCTTTAAAATTTTGCCAATTGTTTGGTAAGTAAGCAGTATTTGCTAATTTAGTTGGGAAGAAAATTATACTGGCTGTGTTTTTCATTTATTTAGATGCTGAACAAACCTGTGCTACTGTTGCTAATTTTTCAATGGCAAATAAGGGGTACTTTTAAGTTTTGCTACTGTTTTCAATTTACGTATGTAGTTAATATTGGATATGCGGAAGTTTTCTAAATTTTCATTATGGTAAATAAGGGCAACTCGGAGTCTGCTGATTTTTCCATAAATATGGTAGAAAAGGGGACACTGGTAAGTTTCTAGTTTTAAATTTAGTTTATGTGGCTAATAGGGCCACTTACCATTTGCTCTATGTGGTAAATCTGGGCAATGCCACATGGACATTTTCCAAGTTCTGTAATTACTTTCTGTATTAAATAGGGGGATTTGCGTTTTTCATAAGAATGGTATTTATGTGGTAAGTGGGGCCAAGTGCAATTTGGGGCAGTTTTTTGAATTCATTCTATATGAAGTTTCACTTTATACTTACATGGGAACATTGGGCAATTTTGCCATTTATTGTATATGGGCCACATGGAATTAACAAGTTTTGCATTCAGTTTATGTGGTAAACAGGGCGACAGGCAATTCTTGGTAAAATTCACATGATTTATGTGGAAATAGGGCCACTTAAAATTGTACTTTTGCCAAAAATTGTGTTTAATGTATGTGGTAAATACAGGCAATTACGGGCAAAATCTGCATTTAACTTATGTAAATAGAGCCACTTTTGATGGTGGTCAATTTTGCCCTTTATTCTATGTGCTAAATGTGGGTCACTTGGAATTTCCAACTATTGCATTGAGCACATGTGTAAGAGTCAGTAATGATGGACAATATTTACCATTTTATGTCCTACATGTCCACTGTTTGAATCAAAACCTGTCCATGAAATAAAATAGACAAAATTCAGTATCACCTGTAGTTTGCACACAGGGTTGGGATCTGTGGAAAAAGAGATTCATACATAAGTCTTTTTCAGGCTAAAAGTGCATGTTTTAATATTTTCAAAATTTACAAATCAGTATCTCTCAGAAGCTACAGAAAACTGAAAGAAACAAACTCCTTTGAAAGTAACAATATACACAGACCTGCATCTTTCAAAAAGAAACGTGCACTGCTTCGCCGCTGCCAGAAGAGGAGTAATTTGGTATGTATAACTCCAGGTCCTGTCACAGAACCAGAACAGACCTGTGGGATAACACTCCAGAAAACAAGCTGTGGTCTACTCTCCTCCTCTTCTCCAACTTGGGTGAGTCAGCAGGCCACCATGTAATGTTGCTGTTAAGTGATACATTTTAGGCATTAATTTCCAAAGCAGATATGAGAATACCAATTTGTTAGATTCCTATCCATACCACTTCTGTTTACAAGCAAAGTATCACTTTGTCTGGGCTCAGTTCATCATCAGTGTCTGGGATTGTGGGCAAAAGAGCAGATCGAGTTAAACCCCAAAATTTTTGAGGTGACATGTCTTTTTTGGTGGCTGTGAATTTCCATCCGATGTGACTTGCACATATCTTACACTGGGCGATGGTCCATGCATACCTATAAGATGAAGGACAAATATTAGCCAAACTATACCCAAAGTTCATTACCTGAATCTGAAAGGAAGAACAGACGCTTTAGAGCAACACTGCGAGAGTCATGCACAAACAGCAAGGTGACCCTCAAGTCAGCTCCACAGACACTTCACCTGGCTGGCTGATGTAATGTGGGGCCTGACTCCATGTTCATACTGTATGTTTTCTTCTATTAGAAACAAAAATCACTACCCCAAAATGCTCTTTGTACTGCAGTCAACTTAGAAAACAAACATTACCTGCAGGACCGCCCACTGTGTGCTGGACAAGTCCCAAGAACTACTACTAACCTCATTCATAGAGGGTAGGTAGTCTGCATTTGAAATCAAGGGAACATTTGTGGCAATGTGTTACCATTTTTGTCCTTCATTTTCTCCCCAGGAGTAAAGTCCCACATTTCAATACAATTACTGTCCCACCTATTTTCAATGAAAACTCCTACCACCTTGCTTAGAACCCTACAGTTTTGTGCCCATTTCGAGGCAAGCAAAAGGAGCAGCTACATTACCCAGGAAACCAGCTGTGCTCTGTTGAAGGCCGGCCTATCAGGTTCAAGTTGGAAGCTTTATACACGGTCAGTGTCTCATGCACATATCCGTGAGGATTCACATATGCTGCCATGGGCCCACATAAGGATAAACTAAAAGGCAGAGAAGAAAATAAAAACTTCCTGTGAAAAAACTGGGTCATCACTGGGATGTACGCAGCCCTAAGACAACAAGTACTCTCAAACACTGATCATAGCAAAGCCACATTTTCACAGTGTACCTTGGGCCCACAGGACAATCTTCTAACACCTGATTCGTCCCTAAATACTCACATCATCCTCTGACAGGTACCCTCCAAACACCTTTTAATGGGTACATTTTCAAAAAAAAAGGGAGGGTAACAATTGCAACTGTTTGACTTTACCATGCTGCTGCTAAACTTTCACCAAAAGCAGTTCATTAAAAATGCTTTATTTATGGAGGGTAATTCTAGAACAGTGATGGGGAGACAGTTGTGAATACATACAATAAAAATGTAATAAAGACCATACCTGAATATTTCATTTTTGGTTGTGATCTCTGTTTCTTGACATTGTTTACAGCAAAGGGAAGTACACTGGAAAGTACAGAAAAAATACTCAGTGGAATAATTTTGCACTCAGTAAGAAAGCTGGCAGGACAAAAAAGGTAACACATTGCCACAAATGTTCCCTTGATTTCACCAGGTTGTACAAGGCATTCATATATACCTGCCCTCTATGAAAGCACCTTCCCACCTCTGAAATGCCTGACTTAGTGACCTGAAAATACAAGGCCTCCCACAGCACTTTGGAATAAGAATGCTCGACATTCATTTTAAATGGAAACCCTAACAGGCTGTTGGCTTTGCCAAGAGGCAGTGTCCCTCTACAGCACAGCCTCCCTCCTGGTCCCCCACCTGCGCATCCTGGTTCAGGGGAGTCTCAGTTCACTGGACTCACTTTGTTCATGATGTCCAATTCACAGCGAAGCCGCTGGACGGCACTGCCGATTTTAAGGAGCTGAATTCTTAATACATCATCAATAGGAAGACACGCGGCCACTCTGTAAGAAAAATCTGCAAGACATGAAAGGATTTAAACTGATGAATCAGATGATGTCCTTTGAAATGACCCTTTCCCTAACAGGATTCCCCAGGACAGGTTAACATAATTACAAACAATTCTAAAATACAGCATCTACTATGTAATGTCTACACACTACCAAAATAAAGAAACTACCTGATAAACAGATCATTGTGTATGTTACAAATGGTATGTCGTGGGACAGGGGTTGTTCTACGCCAGGGACGTGTTCTCTCAGGAGAACTGCTTAACTACACTATGGATTTTCTATGCAAAATTTTGCCTACAGTAATGGTTTCACAGAATGAGAGAATTGTGTTGCAATTACTTTAAAAATGTTTTTCCAGTTACTCCAAGCAAAGAAAATGTGTATGCTTTTTGGACTTAAATAATTGGTTACAAAAATAAAACATCGATTCTTTCAGAGCAGAAGGCTTGACCTTCTTTCAGCAACACATCACAGACCATGAAAAGAAATTAACTTTTCATACCTATTGGATTTGAAGGAAGAGAATCATCTTTTAGATTTTCATCCCACTCATGTAGCTGTTTCTTAATTCTATCCATCAAGGTTTCCTGGTTTAAAATAAAAGTTGCCATAATGAAGTTCACAGGCTTACTAACATGTACTGTCATCTTTTCAACTCTTTGCAGTGCTACCAGTGGTAGCACTGCATTCAATACTGTGGAGAGACCTCAGACCCTCAGCACCATCGTTTTGTACACTTTCATGTACCTGGGGGTGCATGTGTGCTGCCCCGTCTTGTGAAGCCATTTCCAACTCACTACAGAGTTCTGTGGCCCCTAACTGACACAAGAGAGCTTACTGCATGCACCAAAAACACCCTCGTACCCCTCCCCCACACCCCATCCACAATGGCACCAAAGCAGCAGAAGGAAAACTGCGACTTGCTCTAGTGGTGTCATAAACCCTTCTCCCAAGACTTGTGGTCAAACCTGTTTGTTAAGAGGAATGACTGGGATGTGTTCATCGTCTAAAACCTGTTACTAACACCACATTACAGTTCAGAAAAATACTTGGCCCCAAATCCCTGGGTAAGCGATAGAAACTGGGCTTTAAAACCATCCAAGATTCTGCACACTGTCCACCCATCTGCCTCTTCCAGAGTTTTATAAAACGTGGCGATGCCCAGTATGAGACCTCAGGGAGTGCCAGGCCCCGTGCGCACGTCAAGCAGCAGGCTAGTGGTCGGGAGGGGAGGGTAACACGCTCATTTAGAGAAAGACCAAAACATGGTAATAAAACATTGCAGTTTTTTACATGGGAATGCCGCCCAACCCGAGAGAACTCCCGATTGTTTAATAAACCCTAAGGGTTTCAGTATAGCCTGCCCTTCAGTCACAAGTCACCAGAAGTTAAAACTTCCATTAAGTGGGAAAGACAACCCATCGATACCTCAGACTCCCTGGGTTTGACTTCAGATGTCCTATGTACTTTTTTCTGAAAATAGCACAAGCATTCTCATTTTGCTTTAATGACACTGGTGACACTGCTTGCCACAGAGGCCAGTTTCACAGGAGTTACTTACAGCATCATACAGAGAATACAGCCAGCGGGGCCACGAAGTCAGATTTGCACAATGAAACTTTCTCTGAAAACAGAAAAAAGTCACTTAATAAAACCCCTAAAAAATAAAGACTCCTATAATGAAAAATTAACTTACAAAGAATTTTGGCTTAAAATATTGTCTGATGTTGAAAAGATTTTCGTGACAATCGTGTCAGATGATGTTCTGGCCTGACCTCATACCTTCATGTCCTCCAGGTCTGACCACAGCCAGGACCCTCATTCTTACCGCAGAAACCCCTGTCCCTCTTTCTGACCAGGAGAATTCCCGGTAAAAGCCTCCCTGGTGCTGTGTCCTCGCTGTGCGCACCTCAGGGAGGTGCTCAGCGCTTTTGCCCCTGGCCACAGGCACATGTGCGTGTCACCTCGCTGCACACCGGGTGACTCTCCCACGACGGCACTGCGGCACTAGTGGTACACAGCGTGTGCACTGAGGCGGCCTGCAGTGGGACAGGGGGCGGGACCATGAGGGCCAGGCCAGTTCGGCTGCTCCTTTCCACTGGACCCACTCGGGAACCTTGAAGACCTTTGACTTTTCTGGTGACACTGAGCTTGCGACACACTGGGTAGGTACACAGGGCATTTTCTCCACACCCTTAACCTTCGAGCCATCCTATAGACAGATTTTTCCCTAAACATTCCGTCAAGCCTAGCAGACCCCCAGCTGAGGTCCGCAGCGTTAGCGCCACCAGCACTGTGGCTATGGGGACGCACGCGGGGTGCTGGGCTGCAGCCAGCTTCCGCTCCTCCGTCCCAACCCGAGGGACCGTGTCAAGCCCCGGCCATCGCTGAGCGCAAAGTCAAGGTGTGGCAGCAGCCTGCCCGTTTTAACACTGGGGAGGACCAAGTGGTAAGAGGGCCTCTAAGGGCCAGGAGGCGCGGCCTGCATCACCGCCAGCTGCCCCCCCACCGTTGCAGGACCCGATCGGAACCGCTCAACACGCAATTCCCGCTGTCTGTGTAGACACTCCCGGGGCCTCTGCCGAGCCGCCCACTCTGGGCCACAAGAGCTACGCTGCAAGAAGGCAAGTCCCCCTCCAGCACACCAAGTGGGGACACCCCGTGCACCGCTGCAGCCGGCTGCCTGCAATCCCCGCGGGCTCATGGGACCCACAGGGAAGGACACCTGTTCCAGCTGCTCCAGAACCTCCCTCCTCTGCAATGCACGCCAGCCCCCAGGGATGAATCCAACGGAACCCCAGTGACTGAGACTTAGACCTCAAACATCAGACCAACCACAGGATTCGGAAAGTACATGTTCCACAGGACACCAAAGTATGGCTACCAAAAGGACGTCCCACAGCAGCCTTGTCACTGACAACACACCTCATAATGTGACTTCAAGAAAACACAGGGAGGCCTCCCAGGAGAGAGGACGGCGGGCACTGCCAGGAAAGCAACCAGGGCTGGGCCAGCCTCCACGGGCAGTGAGGCCCTGGTTCCATCCTCAGCACCACTAGAAATAAATAAATGGCGGAATTGTGTCCAGCTACGACTAGAAGATAAATATTAAAACAAACAAACAAAACAAGAAAGCACAGGGAGCCCATGGAGCATGAAAGTGGCTCACATCTGTCTCTGTATAACATGTACGTTCACCACGACAAACACCTCAATACACAGCAGCCCCAAGAAACGGGGAAAGAGACACAGAGGACACCCCCAGAGAACCCAAAATAAGGGAACAGGTCACCAAACACAGATCCTGGTCCTGCATCCATCAGACCAAGTGAGTCAGCGCGACGGGGGAGGTGCTGCTCGGGGACACTAAAAGCACCGGGAGTGTTGACCTCAATACCCTGTGCCACACCACCACATGCAGGCTGGGCGGCTCCCTACCTGTGCCCACCCAACCACCTTACCCTAGCTGTGCTGCAAACCCACACTCTGAGAGACAAAAACGCTGCTCTGTTCCACGACACTTGAGATGGCCCTAAGGACAGTGTTCACCTGGGAGATGATCCTCAAGGAATAGGATGCTCCCTGTCAGGTATCTTACAGCCGTGTTATGGCAGAGGGTCACTGTGAAATGCCATGTGCTACTACCAAAGCCAAAGTCTTCAGTGAAGGAAAGGCCTGCTTGGTTTAGTCCTTCTGATACCTCAGGCTGCCCAGAGATGGACCCAAGACCTCCTCACTCACTTAGGCAGTGGCTTAAACCTGAGGATCCAAAACAGGAGGCTTCTCCTCTAAGCTCTCCTGGACTTGATTACTGGAACCACTCAACGACAAGAGAAAAACAAGAGGACCACCAACAATGGCAAGGGACCAAATACTCTACAGTAGTGATGGCAACCGTCAACACTGTGGCCAGAAGCTCCTGGGCCCTAAGAACACCACGTGGCTACAGGGAGCATCATCTCCGTTGTCAAGGAAAGAAGCACCAAAGGACGCAGCACCTTACCCAAGGTCGCTCAGCTAGTACATGGGGAGTAGCCAGGATTTGTACATAGCACACCTACCTGTCACTCACGGGACACAAGTTAAACCTAAGACGAGCACCAGGCATCACACTTATGCATTTAAGATACGCTGCTCTTTACCATTGACTACAGCCAGACACAAGTAAGCTACATAAAATCCAATGTCTAACTTCCTTCTTTTTACAGTAAGAAAGTCCTCTAAAGTTCTGTATCTTGATTTCACCAACAGATTCTAAAAGCTAATCAACTAAATATGCCTCACATAACTTAATAACTAAATATGCAAACAGAAGAGAATGATACCAGAAAGGATCAGCTACCATTCACACAGCAATGGCCAAAACTCAGGTAGGTGACCTTGATGGTCTTAAACTTCTGAGACCTACCCACATATCTGGCCCCAAGAAGAGGTGCTCCCATCTTACATCTGAGTGACACTTCATAGCCCTTCTTCAAGAAAGCCACCTCCATGATATATTTTGCAAAAGAGTTCAAGAAAATGTTAATACTAATCCAAAATTTTAGACACTTAAAAGTGACCCTAACGGATTCTCCGGTGAAGTAACCTTCCCCTTGGGGGGGGCCCTAACAACCGAGAGCAAGCACAGGAAGTTATCACCTGGAGACCCTCCACAACATTTCCACTTGTAAGCCTCACGGCTATGGCTTCAGCTTTCCCTCCCAACCATACAGACTGTTCAAAAACTGAAACTCCAACCCACTGGGTCTTCAGGGTGCAATGACAACAAAAGGACAAAACAAACGTCCACACAGAAAATCCTGACCACAGCACGTGAACGACCAAAGGTGCTCATTTATTTTTTTCAGAAGCTATCACCATCAGCAACATACTAAATATAATTTATCCAAATAAAAAACTACCAGCTTTTCTCTTTTCTTCTTTCATTTACTAAATTCCTACTTGAAAATGAAACTGGACGCTTATTACCCCTGAGACTTATGACGATGGCAGGTGCAGAGATGCATGTGCACGCAGGTAAGGTGCCCGCGGAGGGAGCGGCTGGTCTGTCTGAGGAAGCCCCTCACCTGACACGGCACAAAATGCGTGATGAAGAGCAGTGCCGCATGCACCATCACATGTCAGCAGATGTGACGACACAGCGGTCACATGCCGACAGACCAACAGGGAATGACATCTATCAGTGGGAGAGATAAGAGCCTTTCAGATGACTGTAATGGGATAGAGTGAGCTACACGGGAAAACACAGTTCCCACCAGGAGGAACCACACAGAATCAGTGCTCAGCAAGGAGAACACAGGGCATCCCTCTGCACGGAAGGGTCGTTTTTAGTTTGGATTCATAACAGGCACTCTGAACATTCTACTCCACCAATAAATAACAGAGCATACCCAAAACAAAGTCAAGACAAATGGCAAACAAGAAAATGTCTGGAACTCATTAATTATAGGGATTATGAAGATTATAAAAACTTACAGATGTCAACCAATCACTAGAAAGATGTGTGAAGATAATAAACTTAGAAATGCAAATACAAGCTTTTCTGAGACAAAATGCTAATCCTGACACTCATCCACCTTACATCTCCAACAGGAGAGTATGCTTCACTTACCAGATCACCACATTATCAGGTCTGATACCCTCTGTGACTCTGTAGTAAAAACAATAATGAGACCACAATAGGTACCACTCTCCTTAGTAAGGTACACGGAAACTGTCAACACTACAAATACAACTACCCTCAACCTGCTAATTCCACTCCTCAACACTGACCAGACATTTGCATCTATAAAAGGACATGTGTACAAGTAACCACCTGCAGATGTCATCAACAGGGGAGGGGTTACCTAAGTTACAGTGTTGCCATACAACAGCCTCCTGGGCAGCCTTAAAGAGAAAACTGTGGTGCTCTACAGACTGATATGAAAGCATCTCCTATAAGATACCCTAAGTAGCAAGAGGCTTCAGAGCGGTACACTCTTTCACACAAAATAGGGGGCAGAGGAATACCTGTATCCATCTTCCTCCACTCTAGGAAACTGAAAGTCTGACCTCACATCTGCAAGCACTATTCTGAATCAATGCCCGTTTTCTCCTGCTCCCCACGACGCACAGGAGCAACACGGCCTACACATCCAGCCTCACTCACTCCTCAATACCCACTGTTTCCACAGCTGAGCTCTCTGTACGTTTCACACTCAGCTCTTTTGCAGTTGGTGTGTCAAGCCTTTCTAAGCGAACAAGCAGATGGTCCAGGCGAGCAGAGAGTACACTTAAAAACAGTTAGGTGGTGTTCCAAGTGGGTTCAAGAGTCCTCATTTAAATGTGGATTTTCCCTGCAGTAAACCTAGTGAGTGAAGAAAGCACTGCCCGGGGAAGAGGAAGAGTTTCCAGCTCCCACTGCAGGATGAAGGCCTCTAGGCAGAAGCAGGTGGGAGACCGACTCCACATCTTTAGATCCACACGTGGGCTCTTCCTGTAAACGCTCCCTTGTTGGAAAGGAAGAGGACACAGAATACTTGGAGAAGGTTCAGTGATTATCCTTCCCATCATTTGCGATACTCAGTTTTCAATGGCAAATGTTAATGGGAAGTGCAGACATCCTGAGCTCAACTGGACAGGTCTCAGGAAGACCACAGCCCTGGTCCTGCCCCATCTTGTCTGCCTAAATGAATAAAGCGACCTGGTCAGGTTAGCATCGTGTAAGCCTCCTGAGATCCTGAGCACCTTAAGTGTCCCCTGAAGACTCTCCAGTGCACTGCTCAACATCATATTGGGATCTTGACATAACTTGGGGCAAGAGAGAGGTCTAGATCTGTCCTAAGATAGCTCAATCACATAATCTGGTCCCTGGTAAGCTAGTGCCCAGCTAAAAGTGCAGCAAGCAAAGCACATCCGGTCCCACTATGGTACCTGCACCCCCTTTTCCTGTGCCTCTCTGATGCACCTGGAATGGCTCTGAGAGGTCTCTCTCAAGTAAACTGCTCTGTAGGTCCCGGTGTCCAAAAGACAGCAGCCAACTCTTCACCCTGTCATCCAGATCCCAAATTTCAGAATCTGAGACATTCTCAGTTTAACAAGGGAAGCCCTTCAAAAATCCAAAAGCCACACAGGATGAATACCCTCCTAAAACTCCCACGCCCCCCGTTTAGCCCCCGGCAATGCCACACAAAAGCCAGCCAGGGCTGACACCTGAGAATCCAGACTGACTGAAGGAAGGCGGGACGTGACAGGGAGTCAGCTCATCTTCTCCCAAACCAGGATGTGCTTCCTGGCTTTCCCTGCACTCCTTCAGCCGTGAGGATCCAGTTGCAGAGGGCAAATTCTGATTTCACTGTGAAGGTGCTGAGGTGCTTCCACCACAGAATGGGAAGATTTTAATCAGTAATTAGCCCCAAATTAAACTTTAAAACGCTATCAGATTAGCTTAACTGAAATTCAGGTTTAGGATCAAAAGATCCTGCAGGCAACATGAAAAATTCGTTGTACACACCTTCCAAGTGTTGACTCTAATTGCTTTCACCTTATGACTGGAACAAAACAAAAGAGAATTTATGGCTTTTAAATGGTTAAGAGCTTTTAAAAACCCATACCTATACACTGAGAAAATACCCACTAATCGCAGTAAACAGCTTTGCAAATACTGAAGTGACAAGCAGGCAGCGTCTCGATGCCACGGCTCTGCCACCACAAGATGACTTCATTAGGAAACTGGCACCAAGCACACCAAGACCCTTCAGGGGACTCATTCCAAAGCCACGCCTCAGAGCCCACACGCTGCAGAGCTGCCTCCCACACGTCTCTGTCAACACTTAGGGCTGCAGGTAAAGCTGCTGTGAGCACGGTTTCCCGTGGCTCCACTGTCCACAGAAACAAGGTCAGAGTCCACTTCCAGAACCCATATCAGATCTGGATAAGGAAGCACCACGCAGCTACACAAAACCCACAACACACTGATGTTGTTAAACCTTCAAAAGTCTCTTTTTGTGGTTGTTTGATAATCTTTCAGGAGTCTAATTAGACCTTTTTATTAAAATCTCCTTGTAAAATCTCATTAAAACACCTCATAGCATGTGTGACCAACCGACTGAACATACAGAATAATGAGCCCTCCTGGCTCATCTAAGCCAGCCAGGCAGGGACAAGCCCCGTCCACATCCAACACTCTGGGAAAACTGGAGGAGTTCTACCAAAAGAACACTGAAAGTCATCGCGTACCACGCAGAATGCGGACCTCTGCATTCAGAAACTAGTAAACTCATCCTTGAGGCAGAGCTTCAACAGTGACCACTCTACACTTAAAGCTATCTACCTCACTTCCTAAGAGCAAGAATGATCCACCAAAAATGCACAGAAGAGCTAACGCCCCAGCCACAATATCTGGAGAGCGGGTGACTGAGAACCCCGTGAGGCCCACAGGGTGTCCCAAAACAGTGTGCTCTACCACGACTCTGTGCTACCCCAGAGGAGCCCTCTCCCTTCCTTAGGTACACATCCTTACCACTGAAGAGCCAGACATGTGACCTGAAGTGTAAGTAGAGATTCTATCTGCTCGTTTCTACACGAGTGACGAGCAGTCACGCATACCTCACCTACCCTGTGACAACTTGCTGCTTCGCCAGACTATTCTTTCACTACAGCCACCTGTGAGATCTTTAAAAGTGCCAGCTACGATCAACTACAGGTAGACCACAGCCACAGAAGGTGTCTGGGGAACCGTCCGAGTCTTCAGTGATTCTTTCTTTCAATGGAGAAAAAAAGCAACCTGTCTTAATTTGTTGAAGATGCATAAAAAAAAGCAGTATCTCACCTTCTGGTATTTCTGCCACCATTTACATGAATACTGGTCTTCCCATGAGACAGGTTTTGAAGGAAATATCTGGCACTTATTGAGGGATTCTAACTGAACTGCAGACATGGTTGAAGGCAACACACATTCAGGAAGAATTTGCACTTTAGCTTGCTGGATTCTAAAATAAAGAGAACCAAGCACGGTGTTCATTTTCAAGATAGACTAACTCAAACTGTAAGTTTCTAAACATCAAGGAAATTTTAAATACTAACATTTTCTAAATGTTTTTAAAACATATTCACTAAATAAATGCTGTTGTTAAGATATAAGACATTTTCAGAAAATAACTTCATTTCATAAATCATAGAACAGTTCATGCTACAGATAATCTAAAGTATGAATTTTCAATCTCACCATGGAATAGAAAGGAATGTCTTCATGAGTCACATAAATAGAGTTATATTTGACATCAGCCTACTCCTACCATGACTGCTCATCTTGATACTTGTAACCAAACTTCTTAGACAGTTTAGACATCCCAACCCTCCCATGTCCCCCACAACCCGTGCCGCCTAAGTGGGGCCTTTCTCATGTGTCATCCTGAGAGGCAGGTTCAGAAAGAGAAAATCACAAGCCCATTTACAGGGACGCTTCAGATGAGACTAGAGAACTACATGGCCTCTACGTCCATGTGCAGCCCTCTTCTCCTCCTCATGACCTTAGGGGAACATGCACTCGACTGCCTTTAAACTGAAGAATCACCAAGGCTTTCTTGATAGAGCCTTCATTTTCTAAATGCTACTCCAGAGCATCAGACTTTCAAACACCTGTCACCCATTAATGCAAACAGAGAGGCTGTCCCTGTGATCGACCCTCCTGGGAGGCAGCTTTAGAAATGAGGTCTATGCTACGACAGACATGCAAAGGCTGGAAGAAAACACTTTGGAATGATGAAATCAAACACACTGGAAGCCCCTGCTTTTAAGACTCTCATATGAACTATGGCGTTCATAACATCCACTGCCTTCACCCACAAAACGCTGAGAATAAAATTCTGATACTTCTACTCATTTATTATATGTAAATAGCTAAGTTATCTCAAAATATACAGGTTTAATTTAAAAATATACTCATTGTACTAACTTCATGTCCTACTTAGTTAGTATGCTCATTAAAATACAACTTTAATCTGTTAAAAACTTTGGAAAATGTTAAAAGTGACCATTTTTAATTCCAGAACTAAGGTTCAACTGATCCCAGTCAGTGGGTTGGATCCCCAGTACCAGTGCTGGGAGGAGGGGAGGGACACAAGCAACATCTCAGCTTCAGTGTGCCTATATCGTGTGTGTGTGTGTGTGTGTGTGTGTGTGTGTGTATGTATGAATGTGCTGTGTGGGGACTGGACACAGGGAGCCTTACCACGGAGCCACATCCCCAGCCCTTTTCATATTTCACTTAGAGACAGGGTCTTCTGAGTTGCTTAGCACCTCACTTTTGCTGAGGCTGGCTTTGAACTCACAATTCTCCTTCCTCATCCTCCAGAGCTGCTGGGATTACAGACGTGTGCCACCACGCCCAGGCCTTTTGATTTTTGAGACAGGGTGTCCCTAACATACAAAGGCTGGCCTGAAACTTGCTACCTCCTGCCTCAGCCTCCTGAGTTGCTGGGATGATGCGCCATGGTGTAAACTGTACACCATCCTACAGACGCTCATCAGAATCTGCTTCTTAAGGTCAAAAGTACCTGAATTGAGGTACTTCATGCAAATATTATGAAAGACTTCATGCTTTCATTCTGATAAAAGCGTTCAGGCTGTGGAAGTAGCTCCGATCACCTCGGAACCCCTGGTCTGCACTGGGAGACTCAGCGCTGCCCAGACCCTCCTTGTTCTGCAGCCTGGAGGCTGCTCTACACACAGGCTGGTTCTCCCGCCAGCTGAGTTGCATTTTTAGCATAAGGTAGTTGTGTTTCTTCCCAACCTGTCGATGGCAGTTGTTCTGTGGTATGGCAACATAATTTATATAAATGTTATAAAAACAAAATGTGTGAACAAAAATAAAATCACCTCCATGAATACTAAAACATAAAAAAAAAATTTCTTCCAAATTCAGTAAAGACAACTCTAATAGTAGGGAAACACCACACTAACCTGAACATTTTCTGTGCTCAAATGACCTCGTGACTGACCACCCTTAGAATCCCTCTTAAAAAACAGAAATATAAACTATAAAAAACGGAAGTATATGCTATACACACAAACCACAAAAATGTCTGAAGCCATCTCTAGTTGACAAACCCACTTCAAAGAGAAAACCATCTCTCCATCAAAACCCAAACGACTACCTTCCTACATTTTCAATGAAAACATTTATAGTAGGTGACTTTTTCCACTAAGAATCACTGCTCTCAATTATGATAGGGAGGACGTATTCTCTTGCAATTTCAACACAATATTAATCCCATTCCAAGAAACAGGAAGTTCTGATTCGTGATACCCTTCTGTGTGTTTGTTTATTGATTAAAGACAAAGGTCCGTATATTCAGAAAAGGCCAACCAAATAAACACTGAATTTAGCGACAGTTAGAAAGCAGTAGCATATTTTTATATATGAAGCATCATTTAGGTTAAAAAACAAATCAATCAGATATACTTCCCTGTAAAAAAGAAAACTGGCCCGAGTTTCCAATGTGCTATGGAGAAATTCTGGTGTCATAGAAAAGGCACTGGTGTGGAAGTTGGGCACCTAGAACCAGCCAGCTGACACACACTACTTGTAAGGCTTTAGGCACATTCTCTAACACTTGGCTCCCTAGTTTGAAAAAAAGGAAACAGCACTACATCATCTCCAACGCAAGCATTTCACCGTTTTTAGTGAAGGTGGTCTCAGGAAAGCACAGTGGCAAAGCCACAGAAACCTCACTCCACACACGCCTGTTACACTTCGGCAGACACATCTGTGTGAGAGGGCCTGACACAGGTCTGTGGGATACTGGCGTGGAGGCACCCTTTCCAAACCTTTTCCAGCTCTACCACTCTGAGGGCGGTGACCCTCACCAGAACCAAATCACATTCCTCCGCCCCTTCTCAGGCTCAGCAGACTGCTGCCATCTTGTGTTCAAAAGACTTTTCCACAACCAGATATGGAAGTCAATATGCTGAGAAATGCACTTTCTCCCAACTCAATTTCCCTGAAACTTTCTGGAAAATAGTATTCAAAGATTAAAAAAAAAGAACCAATTAGGTGTGTGGCTAATAAGTACTTCAAAACTGGCACTGTTAGCAAAATCTACAGCAACAAGATGACTGGTTACCACAGTGCAAAGCCCTGGGGAGATCACTCCTTCACGTCACATTTCTGATCCCCAATACAACATAACTAAGCCTCGGTCACTGTTCTCATTCAGCTCATCTACCCGGGGAGGCACACACGCAATCCTGTGAGGGTGGGACGAGGTGAGCACACACGTGTACCAGGAACGTTGAGGGAACTTCAGGAGAGAACCAAACCCCTCAGGACTCTGACCACTCCATCCCATATTCGAGTCCCAAAAGCCTGCCTGACGCATCTGCAGTGGCATAATCTTGAGCAAACAGACAAAACCATAACACCTTCTTGCATTCAGAAGAAGACACGTGCAACACAAAGATCTGATGGATTTTCGACTCTGGCCACCATCACAGATGGATTCCCCAGGACAGGGTGGAACTGAGGAATCTGTGTGTACTAAACTTCCCAGATGACTCCTATGTGCCACAGGACAGAAGCACTGCTCAACACACAACAGCCAATGTCAAGACTACTGTGTTGTTTTAAATGGTTCGCTATTTCTTAAAAAGAGGATAATGATGGTGAACTGGATCTTTTTTTCCTTAAATGTGGAATTCCTAGATTTTGTGACAAACTCTTACCTAGGCAGCCACTCCAAAATGAGTCTCTGATGAATGGGTATAAACTCGGGGATTACTAAAGTTCACAAGGTGCAGTGAAGATAAGGACTAGTGGTCAGTTATCATGTGGGTATTGTTTCCGGGTGATAAATCCCATGGGTGCTACGTGTGGATGGGGAGAGCCGCTGGGTAGAGCAGGTATGACGTGTATGACTTTCAAACCTAACGGGAGCTTTGACACCACCTCCCCTGTCCTGGTGAGCACACCGAGACACCGTCTCTCGCTCCGAAGAGAGACCTTCTATTCCCAAGAAGCCACACCCCAAATGCCACTTTCCTTTGGGTTGACAATGCTCTTCTCAAACCTGGAGGAGTATGAGAATCACCCGGAAATCATTCTTAAAAGGTGCTGAAGTCTCACTTCATCCTGAACAACTCTCTGAGGATGGAAGATGAGATTGGAACCAAGCATCTTCAGTTTTAAGAATTTTCTGGGTGATTGTGATGGACCCCAAGTGGGAAACAACTGAGATATACTTCAGAAGGGAGAGAGAAACACTAATAAAAAGGCACAAAATGTGAAGATTTAGTAAAACAGAAAAAAAAACCAAAACACTCCATTGTAAAATGTTCACAAAGCTTTAAGACATGGTATTTCTTACCCATCTGACTGTGTTCTGAGTTCCAGGACTTTGAACCTTTGTCTTCCAATTGCTTTCACTTTCACTATTTCAATTCCAAAGTCTTGTTCTTCTCGATAGGCATATATCTCTGCTGTCGTTCCAAACTGTGCTTCCCTTTCCTGTATATTACTTCCAAGGAAAAGTTTTAAAGAAGATTTTTAACATTTGGCATTTATATATGCAAAATTAGCAAAAGTAATTCATTTGGGAAAATGATTTATAGTCATTGACTCTCACTTGCAAACCCAGTACAACTTTATTTTAAAATCACATGGTGGAGGGTACTGGGGTTGCAGCTCAGTGGTAGAGTGCTTGCCTACCACCCAGGCACTAGGTGTGATCCTCAGCACCACATAAAAATAAATGCATAAAATTCAAGATATTGTGTGCACTTACAACTAAAAAACAATTTAAAGAGTCATATGGAGGAGCATAGGAAAGCTTTGGGATAGACAATTAGAACATTTAGGAGAAAGAGTCACTGAAACAGTCAGGGACTCACACACCTCTGAACTCTCATTTCCCCAGCCAAACATTCTTTCACTTTGTTAGACCTTCAAGGAAGGTATTCTGCTGCTTGTTAGCAGCACTGGGGCAGGGGCAGGGGTTGGGGGACGGGGCTCCTGAATTTATTCTCAGCCTCTAGGGCACATTTCCTCCATCTGCCACAGGGAACAAGAGTTCAGCTCAGTGGGCCACTGCTCTGTACTGGTGCAACTTAACAAGTTTTGGGAGAGTAAAAGGAGGAAAACAAAAAACAAAACAAAAAAAAATGTTCTTTTGGAAAACTGATCCTGTACACGGAAATGGAAAAGCCCTGTTTCCTTTTAAATAAAGACAATTCTTGAAACTAACATTCTAGAAATGTTTTCCAGTAAATATTAATGAGCAAAAGTTTTTCAAGCATCAAAAATGTAAATTGGTTTAGATGGTAAATAACCAATATACTCTAATACTTCAAATCTCACTCAACAAAATTCTTTACTTCTTCTGGACATGCAAAATAATTCTCTACTTTGCCTTCAACACTGACCTCGGCTGCAAGTACACAAAAGGGCACGAGTGAGGCCAGTTCCCCTAATACTTTACCTGTATGCAAGAACTGCAAAGGTTCTATCTTTCTGAATTAAATTCCGCACCATACTGACTTCTTGAGGGCGAAACAGCTGTAGAGGTAAAGTCTGCCCGGGAATCAGGATCATCATCACCTGTGGGAGCACCGGGATCACCTGACAACTGTCGTCGTCATGCAAAGTCCTGCCATGGAACTCCTCCATGTCAGCGCCCAGATACTGCTCACAACGACAAGAAGGCAAGTGTTACCACACACACACACACACACACACACAAAACACAAGCTCAACAGGCTAAAGAAAAGTCAGAGTAAATGAGATATAAACAGAGGGGAAACATAACTATTTATGTGATGATCTTAATGGTCTCACATAAAAACCTAATTTTTAATTTATATTTACTGTTAAAACTTTCAAATCTTTTATTAAGAATCTCTCATATGTACATATTCCACAACATTTTGCAGTTTGAGCTGTTTTTCACAGGATCAAAAATAAATTTGGACATCTCTATGTCCAAATACCCCAAATGACAAGTATAAATGTTACTATGTTAAATAACACCTTCATGCCACGGGACCTAGCAGACCACAGAACAAGCCCTTAAAGGCTCTATTACTAACAAAACTGGAAAAAGGGCAACAACCTCTTAAAGGATTACACCAGTAAACAGTAGGAGCTGCTTACAAATAAAGAATTTATTATTTACTGTTGGAAAATAGCCTGCCTCCTCGCAGAATCTCACCATATGATGGAGCTGCTAACAAAAGTCAAAGTCATGGGGCTGGGGTTGTGGCTCGGTAGTAGAGCACTCGCTTAGCATGTGAGAGGCGCTGATCTCAGCACCACATAAACATAAATAAATAAAATAAAGGTATTGAGTCTAACTACAACAAAAAAAAATATAAAAAAAAAAAAGGTCAAGGTTACATATTTATGCCGTGTAAACTAGCCGTCCACATTGGGCAGGGTGAGGTGCCAGGCCAGGCCACCTCTTCAGGAATGTGTCCTAGGGATGGATGTGCACCGACAGTGCCAGAGGAGTTATTGCACTACACACCGTGTGTGAGGTTGGCAGACTCGTGTCAAAATTTATGATGTTTGGTTTTTTTGCTTCTTTGCTGTCCTGGTCTTCAACTTCCATTTCAATTTCATCTTCTTCTTCACTCTCTGCTGTATAAATTACAATATGATAAGAAAAAAACATTAGACCCATGAAAACTTCAAATCTATACCTTTCAAATACATCACACTCTGGGGAGAAAAGGGTACTAGACGCCATACGCACCGCTAACCACCACTAACTGTGAGGAGGCAGCCGGGGGCCCAGGGGCCACACCGCACTCTGTCACCAGGTATCTTCTGTTGTTGATGTTGTTTTCTTTTTAAATCAACATTTATTTATTTTTAATATTTTTTAGTTGTTGATGGACTTTTATTTTTATTTATTTGTATGTGGTGCTGAGAATCGAACTCAGCGCCTCAAGCATGCTAGGCGAGTGCGCTACCGCTGAGCCACCACCCCAGCCCCTTAAATCAACTTTTAAATTTTATAATAGTTTAAGAGTTAGAGAAATAGTGGAAAATGTTCCCATAAACCCCACTTCTGTTTTCCTCTACAGTTAACATCTTATGTTATAGTACACGTACGTCACAACTAGGAAACCAATGTTGGTACATTAGTGCAACTAAGTAAACTCTACATTTTATTGGGATATCCTGGTTTTAACCTCAACTCCTTTTTCAGTTGTAGATTTCCCTCCAGAATACCACATTGCTATGGTCAAGACTCCTCTTCAGCCTGCTCTTGGGAGGTGGGGGTAGTTTCTCAGACTTGACTTGGCTTATTCTGTATATTATTGCTCAATTAGGACTCATATGATGTAATTCTAGTAATCAGTCTAAGGTTACCCACTGTGGGGAGGACGAGGAGGATGGAAACGAAGTACTGTTTTCCATCACATCAGGGATGCACACCACACACCTGACTGACAGCCGTCATGCTAGCCTTCGTCATCGCCTGCAGTACAATCCGTCAGCCCTCTCCACTGTAGAGTCGCTTTCCCCTCCTTTCACAAGGTACCCTGAAAGCAAATCACTCCGTCCACCCTTTAGGGGTGAAGTCTATGGTCCAGGGCCTTGTTGGGAAATGCCAACATAAAGTATTTTAACATGTCCTGTAGAGAAGTTTTCTCCCTTGCCAGTAATTCATTTTGACACTGTATACACTGCACCCTACCTCAGTAAGTCTCAGCTTCCTCGTCTGAAAAAGGACAGGCTCCAAGAAGACCACCTTGGAGAACACTGTTTCAAACTCCTAACTCTAAAGAGTTCCTACATGGGGGGGGGGGGGGGGGGAGATGAGAAAGATAAAGATCTATTAACTAAAACTGAAAAGAGATGTCATCAAAACCTGCCAGAAGAATTCCACAGCGTTGTCCCACTGACACACTCCCTTCCCTGGCTCTCACTCACTCAAGAAAGTCAGATATCTGCAGTCACCATCATACAAATTTTGCTTTGTAATTTAAAAAATACCACAAGCAGCATAAAACATTTTAAAGGAAATGACGCAGACTGCTTCCTCCAGGCATACTTTTTAAATTATGAAAACTAAGCCAATATCCTTTAAAAGTGGATGCTACCATTGACAGGGATGAAAGTCAGAAAAAGCAACACTACCCTATGTGTATGGTATGATAGGAAGGCAGACGCAAGCCTTTCCATGCCACCTGTGGGCACATTTCCTATCCTAGGAGTCCTGACCAGGATTTATTTTGCACCTTAGGGAATATTTGGAAACATCTGAAGACGTCTTGGGTTGTCACAACTAGAAGAGTCCTACTGGTGACCTAGAGTAGGTGCTTGGGGAATCCTACCAAGCAGAGCACAAAACAAAGAATTGCTGGACCTGAAAGGTGTCAGAGACTAGGAAATGTGAGCTTGGACTACGTGTAAACATGGACTGAACCCTTCTGACCTCACAATTCAGGCATTTTAAAATGCCCCCAAGAAAATTCTAAATACTTAATTTGTCATTTCAAAGAGTCATTTTTTCCCCTCTGCGCAAAACATTCTTTAAACAAACTACTTCCACTGAGGTCCCTCTCACAAGACGATTCACAATAGGGTAACTGTGGGGGTGGGGGGAGTTCCCATTTATCCTCATGAATTAAAAGATTTAAGGCTTTAAAGTTCTGTCAAAGACAACAACATAATTGATTTGACTTGTATGCAAACAGTCAGGGCTCTGATACCGGTTGTATCTTTTCTAAACACAAAAGTTTTCCCGAGAGATAACAAAGAAAAATTTAAACTGATGAGAAAAATATTCTGAACCCAATTCTCTGTATCTGCAACTCTGAAAGCATGGGTTTCACTTGTCATGTGGAGAGACCAACTTTCTTACTCTACTGAAAGTTTAAAACATGAACTACTGGCTCAAAGGCTGGAATAAATACTTCTCTAAATTTGCATTTTAAGTCTTCTGACTTCTGGCATCTAAATGACCACCTAGTATTATAGAAGCTTTTCTTATAAAAGTGGCTAAGGCCCACCTCCCCCACTGGGCTGTTTATCAATGGATCTTTTCTCCAAGATAGATTCTTCCCATCTGAAATTATTCAGCTATTTCCTTAGCATTCAAAGTGGACTTACTCTTTAAAACAACTCGTATCTCAAGATTTAGGGAAATGTAGTATTTGTCAACAAATAAAACCGCAGGTCATTGAGAAACCAGCATTACTATATATATATATATACATCTCTGCACCCTTTCACTTTTCCTTTTCCCCCCATAGAAAACACAGGCTGGCTGTTCAGAGCTACCGGGGTGAGGTCTGATGACTCATCTCAGGCAGGAGCACCATGTGAATGCCAACAGAACATCAATATCCTCCCTCTTTTATTCCCCATTCTCCCTGAAACTCTGGATTTGGCACATACACAGGGGGGGCTGATGATGCTGGGAAAACAGCTCAGCTCTGCTGCTGCAGGTTGACACACCTTTATTTGAGCTATGATGGCTTCAGGAACGACCACTGACCGACCATGGTTTGTTTCACAGAAAAAGGGCTTCCTATATAGAGAGACCAATCAATACTGAGCACAGATTCCCTCAGTCAACTACCTAAAAAAAAAAAAAAAAAACTTGAGACTGCTTCTCAGCAACCTACAAGAAAAGCCCTTGGCCAGAGATGCAAATTCACCAACAATTTAGAACCAACCGACCTCCTAAGTCTTACCTTGTGCATCCTTAGCCCCAGCAGGTGAGCCTCCAGATGAACCTCATAAGGCTTTTAACCAATCCCTCTAACCCCCGAGCCATCGCCCCTGTGTGAAGAACCACAATGGCATTCGTTTAACTGGCCTTAAATCAACGGACTCTGCCAATCATCATTCTCAGCACGCTCACCTAGACCGCAAAGCTCCTCAAGTACCAGACCTCATTTGGCACCTCCACAACACCTGACACCCTGCCTGTGTTACAGTGAAGGGACTCAGGGGTTTGCGGGAGGCTGATACCACTATGGCAAAGCCCATCTTGACTGCAGCCGTCTGTGAATAGTTTGTGCAACGATGCACACTTTTTTTCTTTCTTTTTCTTTCTGAAGTCGTCGTGCAATACTCCAACACACAAACCCGAGGTCTAAATTTCCACAAAGCACACCGTTAGGACCAGAGGCAAGGGAACCCCACCGCCCCACGGATCTCAAACCGGTGGCTAAGAGACACCAGCTGCGCTCGCAGGCCAAGCCACGTTCTGGTCCCGACGCTGCAGCTGGGTGACCTTGGGCGAGTCACTCAACTCCTCGGTTCCTACAGAGAGGGACCTGAACGGTGACAAGTGCAGAAAAACACAGCCAAGCCCGGTAGGAGCGCAGCACGCCTCGGCTGTCACTCATTCGGGGACAGGCGCCGGGGGGGAAAGTCACCACAGCTGCCCCGCCCGGACCCCGGCGGCCCCCCCGACTCCGGGGCCCTTCCGCGAAGCCGAGCTGGGGGCGTGGGGACGGCCCGGGCGCGCGCGGTCCCCGTCCCCGCGCCCGCTGCAGCCTCATCCGCAACCGCGGCGTCCGCGCCCTCAGGGAAGCGCCGGGGAGCGGGCGCCGGCCGAGGCCCACGGCTCGCAGCCCCCGGGGCGCGGCCACCGCCTTTCCCGGCCCCGTCGAGCCGCCGGCGACTCCGGGCGTCGCCTCCCACCCGCGGCTGTGCCCCGGGCCCGGGAGTTACCAGGCAGGAGCGGCAGGTGGTTGCCCATGTTGTGCGCAGCGTCCTGTGCGTCTTCCTCGTCGGCCATGTCTGTTTACCCGCAAAGCAGGTCGGGACGGGGCGGAGCCTCCGGGGGAGGTTCCGCGCCGCCGCCGCCGCGCTCCGGGGCCACAGCGCCCTCTAGCGGCGCCAGCGGGAAGGGCCGCAAAGCCGGCCCGCAGTCCGGGGCGGGAAAGCTGCTCCCAGCGCTGCAGGACCAGCTGCCCTCCTCCTTGCACAGCCCCGGGGCCATGTCCAGCCCTGTCCCGACGTGCACGTGGGGAAACCGAGGCTCAGTGTCCAGTCTCCACCCGATTTTAAAGGACAGGAGAGGATGGGCAAGGAGCAAACAGAAACCTGTTTATACACCATGAACTTCAACAACTGAGAAACACAGAAACGAAGACCGGAACGTGCATGGGTTATGGGGAGAACGGGATTGTCCCTGATTTTCTCTTCCACCCGTTCAGCGGGTTTCACATATAATTCATGGATGAGGAGGGATCTGAAACAGACATTTTAAATGATGCTTTTGCAGAACCGAAAAAGGCTGGGTTGGTAAATAAAACTGTCAAAATGAATTGGGAATGGAGCCACCATTTGACCCAGCTGTCCCTCTCCTCCTTCTATACCCCAAAGACGTAAAAACAGCTCGCTACAGGGACACATCAATGTTTATAGCAGCACAATTCACAATAGCTAAACTGTGGTGCCAACCTAGATGCCCTTCAGTAGATGAGTGGATAAAAGATGTGGCATATATACCCAATGGAATATTACTGAGCAATAAAAGAAAATCAAATCATGGCATTTGCAGGTAAATGGATGGAGTTAGAGAAGATAATGCTAAGTGAAGTTAGCTAATCCCAAAAAACAAATGCTGAATGTTTTCTCTGATATAAGGAGGCTGATTCATAGTGGGGTAGAGAGGGGGAGCATGGGAGGAATAGATGAACTCTAGATAGGGCAGAGGGTGGGAGGGGAAGGGAGGGGGCAGGGGGTTAGCAAGGATGGTGGAATGTGATGGACATTATTATCCAAAGTACATGTATGAAGACAGGAATTGGTGTGAATATACTTTGTATACAACCAGAGATATGAAAATTGTGCCATGATTTTATTCTCTTTCATTGCTGAGTAATATTCCATTGTGTATATATGCCACGTTTTTTATCCATTCATCTATTGAAGGGCATCTAGGTTGGTTCTACAGTTTAGCTATTGTGAACTGTGCTGCTATAAACTCAGGGCCTTTGCACCTGCCTTTCATTTTGCCTGGTGTGTCCTTCCTCCACATCAATCCACGACTTCCTCCCTGGTGCCTTCCCTGTCTTCCATCAAATGCCCAACATCCAGTGGTGACCCTTTCGCCCATCCATTGGTTGCCATCCTCATTCTCGGATCCATATTTTCCTTCAAAGCATTTGGGCACTTCTAACATATTATGAGGCTAATTATAAAAAATGGTGTCATCCCCATCCCCTCAAGAATATAAGGTTGTGACAAGGGGCAGAGACGTATGCTCCTGCCATTTGGTAGGTAAACAAAAGAATGTTGACTGAATGAATGAATCAGCTGTAAATGCTCAAAGCCCATGAATGCTGTCCCACGCCCCTTACCCATGCTCTCTTGCAGCAAATGAGGTCCTGTGACCCACTACTGCCTGGTGACATGGAGAGGACATTGGCTTGGTAGCCTTCGAGAAGGACCAGGAGGAGAGGCAAGTTCAGGAGAAGATTTTTCTTCAGGATCAAAGGCTGACGTTTCTTTCTTACCCACTTCCAGCTGGGGCGGAGATGAAGCTCTAGACGAGTTTGATGGAGAAAACCAGGCAACCTACTCCAAATAGCCCAAAGAGCTTTTCCAAGAAATCATGCGTTTTTACAAACAGCAAAACTAGATTGAATAGGGTAGGCATGTTCTGACATGACTTCTTGAATAGATCAATTCGCTGATGAATTCATGGTCAGGTCATAAATCTTCTAATTATTTCCTCTCTGGGGCCAGAGCATGTACAGTGGATTGATGTCCATCGTCCTAAGAGAGCTTGCTTCTTTGAGAGTAGCGCTACCCTCCACAACGCTGTGAGATAGATGTCAAAAACTGGTGACCGTTGGTGGGAATGTAAACTATGATAGTCATCATGGAAATGAAGATGGAGGTTCCTCAAAAATCTAAAACTAGCACTACCAGATATGATCCAGCTATCCCACACCTGGGTGCTTACCTGAAGGAATCATAGCCAGCGTACAATACAGATGGCTGGACACCCTACAACCATCTGTATCACAGGACACTCATAATAGTCAACTTTTGACTCAACTTATGTGCCCATCAATACATGAGCGCAAAAAAAAATGTGGTATATGCACACCGGAGTGTTATTCAGCTTTAAAAAAGAATGGAATGAGCCAGGCATGGTGGTTATAGCTGCCTGTCATCCCAGCGGCTCAGGAGGCTAAGGCAGGAGGATTGCAAGTTTGAGAGCAGCCTCAGCAACTTAGTGAGACTCTAAGCAACGTCGTAGTGAGACTCTGTTTCAAAATAAAATATAAAAGGGGCTGGGAATGTAGCTCAGTGGTTAGATGCCCCTGGGTTCAATTTCTGGTACAAAAAATAAAATACAAGAAATCATGTCATTTGCAGAAAAATGGATGGAATTAAAGATCATCACGTTAAGTGAAGTAAACCAGATTCAGAAAGACAGGATCACATGTTTTCTCTCACATTTGTTGTATTTTGAATTTTCAAGCTAAATGCTTGCCAACGTTGAGAAATGGAAGAGAGTGCAATATCACAATTGATTTTCAGCTTCTCTTTAAAAAAAAGAAAGAGGATGAGTTGACAATCACATGTTAAATTTAGGCTCGAGAAAAGTTGTCTTCAGCGGTTGATTAGACGAGGCATTTAGATGAACAGTCCCTAATGGGCAAAGACCCCTCCTAGCAGGAGTCACTTGGCATTTGTGTTTACCACTTCTTCTGTGAGTGTGGACAGTGACCCCGTGTCCTGATTTGCCCAGGACACCCCAGCTAGCAGCATAATTATTACAGAGCACCCCTCTCAAATTCACTGTGCTCCATTAATGAATTATATGACCCTCCTACACACAGAGCCATAGAGGACCCTGGAAGTCAGTGTCCGGCCATGTGGCCCTAGACAACCACCGGCTGGAGGATTCACATGGACTTTCAGCCTCCCTTGGCAGTGAAGAGTCAGAGCTGGAGATCTTTAAGTCCTCTGTAGCTCTGTGACTCCTTCCTAGCCATGCTTTATGAAGTTTCTTATGGGTGATCCCATTGTGCGGCGACTAACATAAAAAAGATCTTTAGAATTAATTCATGGTTATTCTAATGTTCCTGCCTCCAGAAGCCCATCTCCCAAACTAGTCCCAGTAGAGAAATCTTTTTAAAATTTTTTATGGCAACCTATATATCAAGAAAAAGAGCAGCTCGCCCAGTAACGTATCTTTTCTGAGCCTACCTGTTGCCATAGAGCGCTGGGTTTGGGCACCGTTGCTAAGAGATATGTACTTCAGCATCTCCTCTTTGAAATTCCAGCTCTGAGGGGAGGAAGATGACTCTTGTCTGCTTCTGAAAGACCTAAAAGGGGGGGGGGGAGAGAGAGAGAGATAGAGATAGAGAGAGAGAGAGATGCTCTGTGAGCAGACATAAACCAGGGGTTTTCATAGCCCCTTCAAAATGTTGACAGTTTCATTAATGACTCATTCATGTTTCAGTAATATGGGGGGAAATCTGGGATTTGATAAAAACATCTTTATTTGCAACTTTCACTGCAATGATCCCCCAGAGTCCCAAGCAGGTTAGACTCTGGTGAAAAGTGATCATTGGCGATGATGTCTAACGTTGCAATTTTTGGTGATCTCCCGACACTACTTCTGTCTCTGATTTGACAGGTAAAGTGAGGAAGAGTTTTGCAACGTAGTTAAATGTTGGCCAATTCCTGGTCTTTAACCGTGTGCACAAAATAGCAGCTCACCAAAATAGCTGCTATTTTGTGCACAAAGTCTTTAACCTCCAGGACTCACTCAGTGACTTTTCCCAACATCACATGCTGTTTCTACTGCAATTATTGGAGCAAAGGATAATACAGAGGAGGGGCACCCAACAGGCAGCAAAGAATTCTAGGACGCACGCCTGTCTTCCCAGTGGGCCTGGAGGCTGAGGCAGGAGGATCGCGGGTTCAAAGCCAGCCTCAGCAAAAGCGAGGTGCTAAGCAACTCTGTGAGACCCTGTCTCTAAATAAAATACAAAAGAGGGCTGGGGAGATGGCTCAGTGGTCGAGGGCCCCTGAGTTCAGTCCCTGGTACCCGCTGCCAAAAAAATAAAAATCCTAGGTTTGGGTCATTTTCTTATTTGTAACCATGATGTCAACTCCATCATTTCAACAATTTCTTCTTTGGTCTTGGATTCTTGGTCTTGGTCTAGGACACATCCCTCTAGATGGCATGGTCTAGGCTATGGCTCCTTAATAGACTAACCAGCGTGCAGACCCCGGGCCTGCACTGAATCCTGCAGGAAACGGAAACACAAGGAGCCCTCTGGGGTCTGAGCACATCTAAACACACTACGAAGATGCAAGAGAGAACTAAAACCAGAATAGAACAGCATAGGGCACTTAGCACGAGTGGAG